TTTTTATAATTAATTCTCTACTTAGTGCTCTTCTAATGTTTTTAAAATTTTTCTTTATAATACACTCTTTTGTAATTGTAATTGCTATATACTTGCACTCTTTGCATCTTCTAAGAAATCTAGTATTGTTTTGGTAATCAAAACTTTCCCAGTGTTGTAAAGAGATCATATTGCCTATATCTTTCTTTTCTATAATTTTTGCTATATTGCAATCCTTATTAAGCCTGTCTGTTTTTCAAATAATCTACTCTTTTCTTCTTTTGTCATTAGATATAATGTCTAGCTTTGCTTTTATTGCTAGAAAATTTTTATAATCTTTTAGAAATCTGCTTTAACTACTTTGTCTATGCTATTTATATCTTTTAGCATAGTCTTTTCTAACTTATAGTACTAGTAATGTTTGTAGTTAACTTTAACTTATCGACTAGACTAAGTCAATATTTAAAAATCAGCTTATCCAACTATAGTCAAGTTGATGATTTAATTGGTTAATTAATAGCACATGAAAATGAGTAAATATAATTAGCTAGTCATAGAGATATATTATATATATCAAATATCAATATCAGGTATGTTTATAGATAAGGCTTTATATTACTATTATACTCAAATTTAGAAAAGGTTTTTCGAGATCAAAAACTAGTTAGTTAGCCTTTTATTTCTTTGTGGTACTGGCTTAAGATCTTGGTAGACTTGGTTGGGTCTTTAATAAAATAAGGATTATATAACATTATTGTGTAAATTATATTTCTTTTACTCAAGTTATATGTTAGTTTAATACATATGATCAAGTAATTTTACTAAACCATATTTTAACTATCAAAATAGATACAATTTAATATCTAATTTTTGTAACTGACTGGGTCAAAATTCAAAAGTATTTAGAAGTTTTTAAGTTTTAAAAAACATTTTAAAAATTTAATAAAAATTTATTTATAAATAAAAAATTCAAAAAAATAAAAATCGAAAGGGTGGCAGTCTATTTTAGAATTTTGAGATTTAAGCATTGTAACACTTTCCTAATTTGAAGCACATTTATAAGCCAATGTATACATTAACTATTTTAGAATTTTCTTTCAAGAACAATAGATAGTAAACTGTATCTTTGTTCAAACAGTTACATTTATCTGTTATAATATTTCTAGCATCCAAAAAGAGATATTCTAAGAGCACAGAAGTCACAATAATGCCCAGAAAAATTTGTGCCTGTTCGGCAAGAAGAAGTAATATGCATTTGTATTCTTTCTACTAACTTAAAAAATTAGACTCTTCAAAATGCGGATTATTTATATCATACTTAGGGATTGGTGGAATTGAAAAATACATTTGAAATTCTATATTAATTTAAGAAAGGGATGAAGATTCGACTCCATTATCAAAAAAAGAAGACATTTCTGTATCTAGAGCTTGATTGGTAGTTGGTAAGATATTTTTTTTAGAGAGTTTAATTTTTTATATAACTCCTTGATTACTTCTTCTTGTATTGTAGGTGAAGTGACTGATAAGGTTTTGAAGTGAGGATCAAGAAATGTGGCAAGCCACTTGATAATTTTTAGATCATACTACCAAGATATCATTGATGTGTGAAGACCTTTGTGTATTCTAATAGCTTCGAAGTATATAAAAGTATCTTTTATTTAATCCAAAAGTTTAAAAAGATGTCATATAGTAGAGTACATTATACTCAATATCGAATAGTAGTCACTACCTATGAATATTAAAGCTCATGTGAATAAACGTAAAGTTTGGCATATTTTTCAAGACCTGGATTTTTTTCTTTTAAGGGAAAAAAAATTTAATAATGAAAGATCTTTATTAGTACTTCGCAGTTAATTAAAATTTTAATCAAATAATTAAATATTTGATTTAAATTCAAATTTTGATTTAATTTTGCAAATACTAATTCTTATAACGAAAGATGATAATAGAATTATTTTATAGGTTTATTATTATACTTTGCTTTGAGAACTTTTTTTTTTTTAGTTTCAACAGTAACCACTTTATTATGTCTGAATAGTTAAGTATTCTTATAGTAGTACAGCAGCCTAGTCTATATACATTTCTATATATATCCCAGGTCCCTCCCTCTGCAGTGTTGCAGTTCTCAGACTTACTATACCCTCTATTCATGTGTAAAGTATCACACGGCTGCTTAGAGATGCCCATGTATAACCATCTAGCCATTGATTTACCTCCTCTTTGGCTTCTAACTTGCTAGAGGGTTACCTGCTGGATTAATGAAAGGCCATGCTTACTTATTTGCTGGAGCACCTGTCTCACTCATGTGTCTCACCCAAACTTCAGTAATTTAATGCCACACCTTGACCTATGCACTCGGGGTCAGGGCTAACCATTAAACCCCTTGTATTGCTACTTCTTGCTTTTATTAAAGTTCACAACAATCCCAATATCCACATTTGGTATTGTCTTCTTACTCGGATTCTTTATTGGTCTCTCTCTTACTTCTAGCCAGCAACCCGAAGGGTTGGTCTGCTCAGGCTTTAGATGCCTAAAGAATGTACACCCCTTGATACATACTTTCGAAGTGTATACCCTTTTCCTTTGGTGTGACAGAACCTAGCAGTTTAGCTAGTGTGTTCTTTGCCATTAGGACCTGGTCATTCGGTTCTCTAATCTTGGGCTCCAGTTCGAATTTAGCCCTCATGTAGTACCATTATAGATTATCACTATTCATTAGCTCGGGACTTCCCAAATGGGTTTTCAGTTATTCCAGTTTTTCAGCTTTATTGTACCATTGCTCCTATTACTAGATGGTGTGATCGAAGTTACAAATTTATCTAAGATCCAACCAATAATCATAACTGTCAACTGTAACACAAGCCTATTTTTCAAAATTCGTCATCCGTGAGATTCGAACTCTAGATCTGCCACTTAGAGAGGATGATTGGGAACTTTTTTATTTATTTATTTATTTTTTATTTTATTTATTTATTTTTTATTTTATTTATTTATTTTTTATTTTATTTATTTATTTTTTATTTTATTTATTTATTTTT